ATATATATATATACACGTATATATGTATATCTGCCAGCCAGTATACTTAGCTTCCTATCTCTCTACTCCCTGGCTTCTACCACATCATCTGCCTCATCAGGGGCTCCAGGGTCCCTTATGTCCTCCTAGCCAAGGGTCTCGACTCACCGTCATTGACACTTTGCAGAGGGAGGTCTCCCAAAATGGCCCCGATGCACTCTGCTTCCTGGTGCTCCCACTGTTATGTGGCCCATCCTAGTGGAATACGGACTGGCTGTGTGATGTGCTTTAACCAATTGACTTGTGGGAGGTGACGTTCTGGGATTTCCAAGCCCAGGCATTAAGAAGTTCTGCTTGTGTGTTTTTGACACCCCTGAGTAGCCCACGTACAAAGTCTAGTCTATGCTGTGGAAAGAACATGTGAAAAGGCTATTCATAGACACCATTTAGGGAGGCCACATAGAGAGGCCTCTGAGGGAGGCCATACAGAGAGGCACAAAACTATATGGAGAGGGAGAGAAGCCCAGGTGTTCCACTGTCCTGCTTAAGCATCCACATGACTCTAGCCTAGCTGCCATGTGAAAGGCCCCAAATAAGAACCACCCAGCTGAGCCCAGTCGACCCAGAAAACCACGAGAGATAATACAGTGGTGGTTGTTTTAAGCCACTAAGTTTTGTGGCAATTTGCTACGCAAATATAGATAACTAAAACAGAAATCGCAGCTTAGTTCAAAGACACAAAACGGTTAATTATTAACCTCTCTATGCCTGTTTTCCAATCTATAAAATGGGTGTGATGATAATAATAGCACCTCTCTCACAGGGTTTTTTTGAGGATTCAATGAGATCACATATGAAATCTCTTAGTACAATACCTGGCACGTAGCCGGCAGTTGATAAATGGTAATGTTATTTTTAATTTTTAAAAATAGTTCAATCCCATTTAGTGGCACACATTCAAGCTGTTGTAAGATAACCAGGCGTGGGGCACACATTCAACCCGTCATAAGATAAGCAGGCATGGAGATTCAAGTTAATAGTGCAAGTCGTAAATTTTAAGTGGAGTTTCCACCAGACTCTGTGGAATCACTCACTGTCTTAGCTCTTGAAATGATTCATTAGACAGGTTTCTGTACAGCTCATGCACTAGTAAGAAAAAATAAATAAATGCATAAAAGAAGGACAGAAGCAAGACAAAACATGCCCGCTGTGCAGTAGGAAGACCGGAAATTCCACAGCAGACACCAGGGTCCAAGGAGGCTGCCATTACATTCTGCCTGAGTGATTGGGAACTTTGGTTTAGAATCATAGAACCTGACAGCTGGAAGGAAGATCGTCTAATTCCTCATTTACACATGAGGAGGTGAGGGGGTAAGAGGTTTCAAAGCTAGTTCATGACAGAGCCAGAGTCAGCACCCAGAGGGTCTAGCTTTTCTTTTTTCAAACTTAACAGTGTTTGTGGTTCTTTTCTAATTTTATCCATGAACACTGTTTAAAAAAAATTATAAAATTGTAAAACTTAGAAAGGGAGAGTCCCTTGCAAATTCCCGCTCCCAGAAATAACTATGACTCATAGTCGGGTTTTCTGACTCTTAGTTAACAAAGGCCCCCAGGATGACTTGGTGAATGTCATTGACAAGTGTCCACATTCATTCAAGAAGGAAAAACAATATTCACAGGCAGCAAGGATGGAAACAAATGACAGTCAGTTCACAATCGCACAATGTGACCCAATCCAATGCAACCTAACAGATGAGGAAGTAGAGCACAGTGGTCAGGGACACGCAGGCTTGGAAGTCAGTGCCAGATTCAAATTCAAGCTCTGTTCTTATTAGCTGGGTGGCCTTAAATGCATTACCAACCTCTCTGAGCTTCACTTTCCTCTTTCTGAAATCCGAATCAATCATAGTCCCTCCCTTATGGGCCACAGTCAGAGTGAAACAAGATAATGCATTCAAAGCACCGAGTGTGGGATCCAGCACTCTCTGTAATGTACATGCGATCATCATCATCTTCATCTTCATTTCATCACCATCACCATCATCATCAATTACCTCTGGTCCTATGGGAGTCTAATATGAGGTCATTCTGACGCTAGTTTAAGATGAAGGGTCTATAAACGCCTATTATTAAACCTGGCTGTGCCGCTAAAGGAACAGATTTCCATTTTCTAACTCAAAGCAGGAGCAACACAATTTAGAAACCTCTTCCACAGCAAGAATTCATAAGACCAAAATATTAACACATTGACTGCCACACTAGAAAAAAAATTTTTTTTTTCCTTGGGGCCATGATGTTTTATTATGAAAATAGAATAAAAACTTCGAAAACAAAACGATCCTTTCTAATTTAATGAAAAATATGTTATTTTTTATTGTTTTCCATAATGAGTTATATGCAATTAAATTGTCCATATTAATTGTAACAATAAGAACATCAACAACTAAGATTTTCACAAACAAATTGCAGGGTTTTGCCTAGGGGGTCACCCATGTATGCTACAGCATGGCACTGTGAGTTGCCTGGCACCATGCAACTCCCAAGGTGAAGAGACGTGTGAGTTACATGTGCTTCACAAGGCCCCGGGCTCAAAACTAGCATGAGTTAAATACAACTCACATGGCAGTTAATATGTTAAAGAGAAGGAATGTTGATAGGGTGATACCCGGTCATACTGAAAAGCAAAGAAATGATGTGTGAAACCGTCTCCTGCTGCAAGGCAGAGTTCAATATTCTCTTAGGTCCTGTCATTCTAAGTTTAATTTTTTTAATGGGGGCTTTTAAAATACCACATACTTAGCAGGGGAGGTTGTGCGTGTGTGGGGATGGGGGTATACAAGAACTCTCCATGCTTTCTGCTCAATTTTGCTGTGAACCTAAAACTTCTCTAAAAACATCAAGTTCATTAATTTAAAAAAATATCATGTACTTAAATCACTTACTTGAGCATGGAAGCATATCACAATCTAATGTAAACAAACAAGAAACCCAACTTATTTTAACATACCACTGGTGACCTAAACTGGGCTCAAGTTTTCAAACATCTTATGAAATATTATGTTCTCAAGTAGCTTTTTTTTTTCTAACTAGAGATGAATTGCAGAGTTTTGGTATGAAAAAGCAAGCCATGTTTGTACATAGAAACAGCATAGGAAAAGTGCTCAAATTCAACCTGTGCTCATAAAACAGGCAATTACTGTCTTCTCAGCCTTTGCAAAAGAAATCATAGGCATGGTACTGTTTAAGTTATATGCGTGCTAATAGTTCATGCTCATTTTTCATGTTTCTGGGAAACCATGCTGTTTAACACAGAAAACTATTACTGTTATTGTTGTTGTTTTGTTAATTATGTAAATCAAGCAAATGACAGTGAATTAATTCTGCGATGCCAAGTACTCAGTCAGCATACGGGCACGAAGCCTTCTGATGCAAAATCTGTCACATTTCAGTAATTCGAAAATGACAAGTTGGCTTGCCTAAACTTATCCTGTGCATTTAGGAAATGTTGTGGGTTCCTGTCTGCCCAGGGGATTTTTATTACTTGTTTATGCAAACAGCAGGTTGCATAAGAGCCTTGCTGCCTTTTTTTTTTTTTTTTAGCGATTTCATAGTTTCCTGGTAACCATTCAGTCATCTATTTCAACACCCTGACATGACATAAAAGCGAGCGCTGAACCACACGTTTGCCACACGGACACACACCTCTGTCCTTGAACGTTCGCTAGGTAAGGCGCCCCCTCGGACCACACAGCCCCACTCATGAACGGGCACCACCAGCAGAGCCATTTTCTGGAAATAGACAAGAAGAACTGCTGTGTGTTCCGAGACGACTTCATCGCCAACGTGCTGCCGCCGGTGGTGGGGCTGGAGTTTGTGTTCGGGCTCCTGGGCAATGGCCTCGCCTTGTGGATTTTCTGCTTCCATCTCAAGTCCTGGAAATCCAGCCGGATTTTCCTGTTCAACCTGGCCGTGGCTGACTTTCTCCTAATCATTTGCCTGCCATTCCTGACGGACAACTATGTGAGGAAGTGGGACTGGAGGTTTGGGGACATCCCTTGCCGGCTGATGCTCTTCATGTTGGCCATGAACCGCCAGGGCAGCATCATCTTCCTCACGGTGGTGGCCGTGGATAGGTATTTCCGGGTGGTCCATCCCCACCATGCCCTGAACAAGATCTCCAACCGGACAGCGGCCATCATCTCTTGCCTCCTGTGGGGCGTCACCATCGGCCTGACGGTGCACCTGCTGCGCAAACAGATGCTGATCCGCAACGGCCCCGCGAATCTGTGCAGCAGCTTCAGCATCTGCAACACCTTCCGGTGGCACGACGCCATGTTCCTGCTGGAGTTCTTCCTGCCCCTGGCCATCATCCTGTTCTGCTCAGCCAGGATCATCTGGAGCCTGCGGCAGAGACAGATGGACAGGCACGCCAAGATCAAGAGAGCCATCAACTTCATCTTGGTGGTGGCCATTGTCTTCGTCATCTGCTTCCTTCCCAGCGTGGCTGTGCGGATCCGCATTTTCTGGCTGCTGCGCACGAAGGGGACACAGAACTGTGAGGTGTACCGCTCGGTGGACCTGGCGTTCTTCATCACCCTCAGCTTCACCTACATGAACAGCATGCTGGACCCCGTGGTGTACTATTTCTCCAGCCCATCCTTTCCCAACTTCTTCTCCACTTTGATCAACCGCTGCCTCCGAAAGAAACCCTCAGGTGAGCCGGACAGTAACCGGAGCACCAGCGTGGAGCTCACAGGGGACCCAAACCCTGCGAGAAACGTTCCGGATGCCTTAATGGCCGACCCCCAGTGAGCCGTGGAGCCCCTCTTATCTGGGCCCAACCTCTCGCTAAATAACCACACCAAGAAAGGAGATTGTCACAGAGAACCAAGATCTCTGGAGAAACAGCTGGGCTGTTGCACAGAGTGACATCACTGGACTTGGCCTAAGGTTCCCCAGAACTTCCAGATTCGGAGAATCAGATTTAGAGAAGCAGTGTGGCAGAGTGGGCGACCGGGTGCAAGGTGTGACCACAGAAATCTTGGGGGAGCAGAGAGTAAACCTTCTAGGCGTCTGAAACTTTTGCTTAATCTCTGACGCTCTCGGGACTAAAGATGAGCAAGTTGTCAACACTTCTGTTGAGCAGAGTGGGAGCCACAGAGCCGCCCATCGGGACCTGTGACTGGCTGGGCTCCTTCCTTCACCCACCTGAGCCCTGGACGGCTCTCCACTCCTGGGGCGCTGTCTAGCCTGTTTGTGGGCTCCAGCCGGAATCAGGAGAGCTAGGAGATGCGAGGGGAGTTATGCTGCTCCTCGAGGGAGCCCAGGCATCATCAACCAAGCCCATAGGTCACCTGAGATCCGGGGACCAATTCATCTTTCAGCCAAGCTTTAGCAGAAATGGATTTGGCAAAGAGATTCTTAAGCTTTGGTTAATGTCTGAGCTTCCAGTGGTGGTAAATTAGCCCTGGGAGGGACTGAGCTGAACAGTGTCATTAAGGGAAAGAAAATGATATTGGTGCTACTACCAGCAACTAATCCATTCCTCTCTTGTTTACACTAATTTTAAGGTTGAGCAGTTAAAAAGGCTTTGGGGAAGAAACCTGCTTCCCACCTGTTTGCTTTTATTATTAAAAGGGACGTGTGCTGCCGCCCCGATAGTTAAAGGGGGAAGAGTCCTCCTGGTTTGTTTGCTCATGTTTCTGTACTTATATAATAAATCTACTATTTCAACAAATTTTGAATTTTGACACAGTCTGGTGTTGCATATGTCTGGGTTATGGTTCACAGAAATTGACTTCTTACTTAACAGAGACCTTTATGGGTTGTTAACTATGTCCTGGTGGAAAAATTCTGTACATGACAAAGTAAGAAAAGGACGCAGATGCTGAGCTACAGTGTGTCATTTAAGTAAAAATTACATATGTGTTGAGACAAGGTTGGAAAAGGGCTGGGAATATACAAAAACAATTTAACTGGGAAGAGTCGTACAGATAAGATTGCAAGAGCACTCAGCATTTTATTTAGAGTTTGGCGAACATGGCTTTTAGTATTTGTGTATTAAAAAAGGAATTGATGGGAGGCCGAGGCAGGCGGATTGTTTGAGCTCAGGAGTTCGAGACCAGCCTGAGCAAGAGCGAGACCCCGCCTCTACTAAAATTAGAAAGAAATTAATCGGACAACTAAAATATATAGAAAAAATTAGCCGGGCACGGTGGCGCATGCCTGTAGTCCCAGCTACTCGGGAGGCTGGGGCAGTAGGATCACTTGAGCCCAGGAGTTTGAGGTTGCTGTGAGCTAGGCTGATGCCACGGCACTCTAGCCTGGGCAACACAGTGAGACTCTGTCTCAAAAAAAAAAAAAAGGAATTGAGCGCGACCGAGATTTGTCTGTAGGAGGGGGAAGAAAGAGCTTCCTATGGAATGGTTTCAGTTCCCAGTTCTGAGATGGAAAGGAGATGTACTGGTTTGAGTCTGTGATCGGTCCAAGTTTCTGTTACGCTTTCGTTTCCATCTCTGTCACTCCTTGATTCTTTAGCAAGACGAGGCATGTTTCAACCTCCCGACGAGGATACAGATAAGAATTTAGAGACTCAGGCTCCCAGCGCTGGGTGAATGAGGAAAGGAGACGTTCCTGAATTTCTTCCGTTTTCAGAGCAGTTTCTTGTCTATATCACCAAGCAGCTCCTAGAAGTAGAAAGTCCAAAGCAGGGATCACCTCCTTCGAGAGGAAGAGATGGCAGAGATGAGCTCAGAGGAAAGAAGGGATTCCCCAGCCTCAGATGCATGAGTCAGTGGGGAGCTAAGCTGGGAAACTCCGATTCCTTCAGAGGACAAGGCGGTTTGCAGCGTTCCGAACTTACCGCCTCACATTTGTTCATTCATTCGGGCATTTCCATCAGTTCTTACGTATTAAGCACCAACTACATGCCAGGCGCTGTTCTCAGTGGTGGATTAGAGCACAGAACAAGGCAGTAGAAGTCCTCTTCTCATCGGAGTCACATTCGAGGCAGGGAGGGAGAGGAATGTAGTGAACAAGTGACTGGAAGGGACTTTGGGGTGGTTATGGCTACTGTGAAGACACCACGGCAGGGTGATGGGAATAAAGTGACCAGGGCTGGGGGGACTGGGGGACCTTCACTGAGCCAAGAACAATGAGACAGAGCAAACAATGCAAACACCTGGGGGAAAGGTAAGTGCAAAGGCCCTGGGGTGAGAGTTAGTTCAGTGTGAGCATATTAGTTTCCCGTGGCTGCCTTAATACAGTACCACAAACAGGGTGGCTTAAAGCAAGAGACATTGATCCTCTTCCAGATCTAGAAGCTAGACATCCAAACTCAAGGCGTTGGCAGGGTCAGTTCTGTCTGGGGGCTGCGAGGGAGAATCTGCTTCACACCTCACTCCTGGCTTCCAGTGGCTGCTGGCAACCCTGGGTGCACCTCGGCTTGTAGACACATTGCTCCAGTCTCTTCCTCTGTCCTCGCATGGCCATGTCCTCTGTGTCGCTGTGTCCTCGCCTCCTCTTAGATGGACACCCGTCATTGGATTTAGGACCCACCCTAATCCAGGACGACCTCTTCTTGAGATCTTTACCTTCATGACACCTGCAAAGACCCTTATTCCAAATAAGGGCACATTCTAAGATTTGGGATGGACGTAATTTTGGGGAGCCACAGTTCAACCCACTATAATGAGGAACAGAGAACAGGCCAGTATGTCCAGGACCCGGCAATTCGAGGTTACAGTGAGCTATGATCGTGCCACTGCACTCCAGCCTGGGCGGTAGAGCAAGACCCTGTCTCTAAATAAATAAATACGTGCATACAAACGTGCATAAATTTTTAAAATAGGAACAAGTAATGCAGTACTGGACCAAACCAACAGTGATGGCCAGGTCGCACGCTGTGGTACGGTGCGTGCGACAGAGACAGGGAGACAGAGAGTACATGCGTGTATGTGCCTGTCTACGTGCCCGTGTATTGAAACGGGCAGCTATAATCACAGATGCATCCATTTCCCCTTACTGCCTCTGACCCTGTCTTGCAGCCACCTTCTTTATCTTGGGGGGTGCCACTTCGTAGGGTCATGAGTTCCATAAGTTCACTCTCTGCTATGTGAAGTAGGACTTTCTTTTAGCTGTTTCCAAATAATCTCTCACAAACATCAAGAGATGATCCCTAAATCTAGAACCATAAAAGCAGGAGTGCGAGATTCTGTTCATTCCTGACTTCACGTGCACACTTCCCTTTCCGGATTTAACAGCCCGTTCACCCCACGGTGCCTCGGCTGAGGTGAGGGGCTCTAAAGCTCACCCCGTGTTCTGGTGCAGACACATCACAGATCCTTACAATATATTTTGTGTTAACTTTCAAAATAGTTCCTGATTACGAGCTGTCTATCTGCTGGCATTGCTGCTATCAGCAACCAGCTATCTTTGTAGATGGCCTGGCCGGGCCACATGGTCCCTTTCTCCCCCGATTTGCTCCAGTCGTCAGAGATTTAGCCGAGGAATCGGTTACACGACGTGCTTTGGTGGCGTTTGGTGGAGCCAGTCAGCACTGGAAGTTGACCACTTACCAACCACCTGGGCTATGGGCGTCGCCTGCTCACTCAACCTTTCGTTCAAATTGGTGATGTCTTCAAGTCAGAACTGAAATTTGATGAACTGCTTTGATGGCCGAGGCTGGAGCTGTTCACATTGGTAGCAAACTTCCTGAGAAGGAAATTTCATTATTTTTTTCCTCGTTGTAGTGAGACAGTGCCTTACGATGACTGTTTAACTTGCGGTCCTGGTGGGTCTGAATGACTGAAACACATTTGGGGTTAGCTTCAGCAAAAAATCAGAAATAGAAAGAGAGGAAGGATATTGGAGAGGGAGGGTGGTTCTCACAGAAACCGAGAGAGCATTAAACCAGGCCGGGCGGCCCCGGGAGACGTGCGGCCCTTCACCCAGCTCTTGGCCATGAACGTGACCCAGCCTCTCAACGCCTGGGTCGCTCAGGTCAGATTCTTCCCCCAGCTGGTCCCAAATCACTCTTTATAAAAGAGTTATGAAGGCAATACTTGCGCTGCAGCTGCGTGGAGGGGTATATATATTTGCTTGTCACATTTTTATTGGGGGCCACCAGGGAGGGCATCTCCTTCCCATCCACAGAAGTGCTCAGAGCTTCTCCAGCCACGCAAGTCTGGGCTGGGCAGCTGGGGGTGGCGGGGCACGCCGGGCATGTTCCCACCACTCCAGAGAGGCACTGGGGGGTTGTGGGTGGCGCCTGGTGAATCGCGATGGCGCGCCTGGTGCAGGAGCAGTGGCAGCAGAACAGTAGGAGGCCCGTGGTGGTGAAGGACACGGCCACACTGGCCCTCGGCCCAGGCACTCTGAGGAAGGTGGAGTCTCCAGCCATCCTGGTTTCAGAGGCTGCGTAAAGGGTATTAGTAAATGACTGTGCAAAGACATGCGCTCTGCCGGGTGTTCCTCAGATGTTTCGATCACCTTCCATTTCACTAGCCTGTTTGGGCTTTCGGCAGAGCTGATTTCAATTCCCTAGCACTCGAAATTTCATGCTACAAAACTATGGTCCCCGAAGACCTGAGAGGTCATCAATCAACCTTAGAAAGCAGTGGCTTCCACACCGCCCCGAACCCATCCATCTGTGGACCTCCAGATATGTGTCTTTTTATTTTTTTCTTATTTTTTCTTTTTTGAGGTAGGGTCTCAGCTCTTTCACCCTGGCTAAAGTGCAGCAGCATCATCATAGCTCACTGTGACCTCAAACTCCTGGGCTCAAGCAATCCTCCTGCCTCAGCCTCCCAAGTAGCTTGGGACTACAGGCATGCATCACCATACATGGCTAATTTTTCTAAATATGGTAGAGACCGGGTCTCGCTCTTGCTCAGCCTAAGGCTGGTCTTGACCTCTTGAGCTCAAGCAATCTTCCCGCCTTGGCCTCCTAGAGTGCTAGGATTATAGGTGTGAGCCACCATGCCTGGCCTGTTCTAGAGTCTTTTATAACAGAAGGCCTTCCTGGAGATTTAGTGTTTGTTATTTTATATATTGCTTAATAAAACTCAGAGCAAAGAACTACTCTTTGGCAGGCTTAGCTGAAGTGAGTCCCTGGCCATGAAGTTCTTTCTGTTCTCTGCTTGTTGTCTTCTATGATATAACCAGTGCTAGGTACTCTTTCGGCTCAGATGTAACATTTGGCTACCCTCTGTCTCTTCAGGGAGAAGGACTTTGCATATGGAATTACAAACATCAGGCCTGATCTATAGTCCACAGTCCCATGCCCTGTCCAGTGAAAGGCTAGTGCTTCTGGGATCTTAACAAATATTGATACACTCAGAGCTCTGGTCACACCCAGACACGGATTTACAACCATCAATAGGTACTGGGAACAGGACATGACGTTCTCAATGCAATTCTGAAAAGCAGAGAAAATGAACTGATCCAGTGGCGTCACCTGGTTGGACAACAGTGGGTTTCTTTTTAGCATGTTTACAAAGTCTGTAATATGACACTGTAGCAGGAAATTTATGCTGTCTGTTTTTGATTTTGGTAAAGTCACACGAATGTAAAGATGTTCTCCCATTCGGAATCGAGGCCCAGAGAGTTTGAGTAACTTGTCCAAAGTCATACAACTGGTAAGTGATGAACCAAGTGAGCGAACACAGGCCGACTGACTCCAGACTCCGT